TTTAATCGAATTGACCTGTATTTCGAGTTCTTTGTCTCAATGGCGGACGAATTGTCCGAAACATGATAAACAATTATTGACAACGTCCAATTTGATTAGACTTTTCTCATATTTTTAATATTTCAAATCTTATTATTCATCACTTGATATCTGGATATTTTTTCCTTTGCCCTTATGATATTTTCAAATCAAATTGGGATAGAGAAAAAAAAAAAACATTTTTTTTTTCTTCAAAATTCAGCAAAATATAATAATTCGTAACGATATGTGAAGCGAATTCATTCCAACATAAATCAAGCAATCAAATTCCACGGATTCGGACGCAGCGTCAGTTACAAAGATGGCGTCCCCTTTGGAATCTAATTTTGTTCCGAAGAACAGCAATAGGAAGGGAGAAGATAATAGGCTGATAGACAAGTTGAACAGATTCGCGAGGCATTTTGAACATGGGCCGAGCAGGAGTGAACAGCGGTTAGGACTGGTGAACAATTGTGAACAAATGCTAATCCTTAGCAAGTCCGAGTGGAACATTTCGAAATTCCTGGAATTGATACGTCTCGACTCGGGCTTCGGAAAATGTTTTAGGCCAATGATTTTCTCAAATGTGTTCAAGTTGTATAACATTTTTCTATGTGGTAAACCTTACTTCTACGATGTATTTCTAAAATCATATCTGGTAATTTTATCATAGTAGCTTATAAATTATTACTGACCTCTAGACCGGATTTCAGTTCAGTTTCTTTTTTATCTATTATATATAGATAGACATAGATATAGACATACATAGATAGCTAGATGAGTATGGATAAAGATATAGACATAAATAGATAGTTAAATATACATAAATTGATATAGATATAGATTTAGATATTGATAGATAAGCAGATGATTAAATATATAGATATAGATATAGATTTGAATATTGACAGATGAGCAGATGGTTAAATAGATAGATAGATAGATATAGATAAAGATATAAATATTGACAGGTAAGCAGATAGATATATAAAGAGACAAGATACAGATATGAAATACACTGGATTTTAAATAACTTGGATCTTAGAATATGATATATATATATATATATATATATATTATATATATATATATATATATATATATATATATATTATATATATATATATATATATATATATATATATATATATATATATATATATATCAGACGAACATATTAGTCAAATGATAAATATAAATAGATATGAATTGAAAGTATGATGATCAATATATTTTCATCAAACAGCGCCAATCTCCTCTTCAACCATTTACTATTACTATATATTTAATTATTTATTTTCAACTATTTATATTCTCTACCTCTTGCCCATCACTTATCTGCCTCTGCCTTAAGCTTGCCTTCATCTGAATTCCTAGAGAAAATTATTGAAAAAAAACATAAGAAACTAGAATTTTACATTTTTTCCTTTTTTCTTTCTTTCTTTAGGAACTTTTCGTTAGGCTGTGTAATCGAATTTTTTAACAGATACTGGATTTTAAGAAGAAATTGAGGATACTTAAAATGAGTATTGAAAATGCATGCTGATTGTAAGAATAGTTTTATAAGTAATGATATTTGGTAATTTTAAGAGTATCGTGAATTATGTTATTAGAAGTATGATAAACGGATAATCAAATTGATGTTGACAGGTGTATTTTAGTATATATATAAATTGATCTATGCACACTTTACTCTACAACTACCCGTCAGTCATTCTAGTTATCCATCTAACCCCTCTCCCCCTTCCCTCCCCTTCCTCCTAAACCACTCTCCTCATCTACTCCTCTCCCCCCAAACCCCCACTCTAACCCTCTCTCTCTCCCCCTCTCCCCCCCCAAACCCCCCAAACCCCTCTCCCCCTCCCCCCCTAAACCCCCCTCTAACCCCTCTCCCCCTAAACCCCCCACTCTACCCCTCTCTCCCCCCCCTCCTCCCCCTCCTCCACCCCCCCTAAACCCCCCACTCTAACCCTCTCTCCCCCTCATCCCCCCTCCTCCCCCCCCATAAACCCCCCACTCTAACCCCTCTCTCCCCCTCCTCCCCCTCCTCCCCCAAAAAAAAACACTCTAACCCTCTCCCCCCTCTTCCCCCCCCTCTCCCCCCAAAACCCCCCACTCTCCTCCCCCCCTACCCCCACTCTAACCCCTCTCCCCCTCCTCCCCCCTCCCAACCCCCCCCCCCCTCTAACCCCTCTCTCCCCTCTCCCCCCATAAACCCCCCATTCTAACCCCTCTTCCCCTCCTCTCCCTCCTCCCCTCCCCTCCCTCTCCTCCACCCCCCCCAAAAAAAAAAAAAAAAAAAACCCACTCTAACCCTCTCTCTCCCCTCTCCTCTCCCCCCAGGGTACCAGATCCACGCCCCCTGCATGAAGAACCTGAGCACCGACACCAACGTCTGCGGCGACCAGTACAAGCGGCTCATCCTGTCCGTGAACCCGCCGGAGAAGCTCGACTACGAGGACTCCATCCGCCAGCAGTGTTGGTGAGTGTGGGGGGAGAGGGGAGGGGTGGGGGGAGGAGTGGGAGGTGGGGTGGGGAGGGTGGGGGGTGGGGGAGGGGGTGGGGAGGGGAGGGGTGGGAGGGGGAGGGGTGGGTTGGGGAGGGGGTGGGGAAGGGGTTGGAGGTTGGTTGATGGTTGTGGGAAGGGGAGGGGAGGGGGTTGGAGGTTGGTTCATTGCTTGTGGGGAGGGTTGGAGGTTGGTGTGGGTGTGTGTGTTTGTTGTTGGTGTCCCTGTGGAGTGTGAGGAGGTTGCCTTCTCTGATCCCTTTTTGTTTGTTTGTTTTCGATTTTCTCTTCGTTTTTTGTTTGCGTGTATATGTATTTGTGTGATTTCTTCTTTTCGTGATGGTGAATGGAGGAAGGTGAAGGGGCTTTTTTTTTCTTTTCTTTTCTTTTCTTTTCGTCTTTTCTCCGTTTTGTTCGTTTGTCCCTATATATGGACATATTTTTGTAGTGTTTTCTTCTTTTTTTGTAATGTTTGAGTTCTGGATAAATATTTGTTTTATAAATGTTTCGCGATTTCTGGTTAACTTCTATAAATATTTTTTATCTTCATATTCTGATGTTTCCCTTCAAGTTGACTATTGTCGAGACATATTTCTTCTGATTCTTTCTTTCATTCTTTTTATAAATGAATTTTTCTCTGTTTTTGTGTGTTTTCTTTAAGTTACTGATTCGGGATTTTACAATATATCTCTTTATAGTTTTTCAAATCTTTCAAATCAAGTCATTATTACCTCTTACCTCTCTCTCTCTCTCTCTCTCTCTCTCTCTCTCTCTCTCTCTCTCTATGTATCTATCTATCTCTTCTCTTTTTTTCTCTTCTCTTCTCTTCTCTCTCTTCATCCCTCTTCCCTTCCATCTCGCCTTCCCTCTCTCCTTCCCTCCCTCTGTCTCTCTCTTTCTCTCCCTCTCTTTCCTCGGAGAAACTCGTGGGGATCGAGAAGGAGTCGCGGCGACGCCAGCGAGCCTCCGGAGCCTCGACGAGCGACCTTTGACCCCAAATGGCTCTTAAATCTTCGCCAATGGAGCGCGAGACTCCTTCGCTTTGACCCGCGGGCAATCAGAAGGATTCTCGAGATCGTAAAAAAAGAGGGAAAAAAGAGAAAACAATGAAATAACCCGGGAGAGCGGACGGGATAATGGATAAATGAGGATTTAGGATAATGGGGACATTCTGCTCATGACGTAGGATGGATTTTGAAATGGTTTGGCCGAAGGATGCCTCCGATATTGACCGATAAGTGACAGCGCATCGGACAGCAGTTCGTGCGTTCCGAGCGCGGGCAGCCATTATTAAGAGATGTCGATCTGCATATTCGCGTTTCCTAAATCTCTCTGGCCAAAGCATCTACATCAATCTGACTAAAATATGCGAGTCGATCGCCTGCATCAACTGGGAATACCGGAGTAATCTCTCAAAATGAATGATTGTCTACAGAGAATAAATTGCAGACTACATTTTCAAAACAATTAATCATATGCAAGTGACAACGCGCCGAACATTACTGGAACCTGCTCGAGCGGCCGGGGACGGGAAAAATAACAAACAAACAAAAAAAGTTGGCGCGGCTTCTGCAAACAAGCTTGTTCAATCAATCAAGATTTGTTAAAATTGAGTCTTTTCGCTCAAACATTTGTCTAGTTAAATGGTTTTGATGCTCTGTTACCCACTTGCTTTCATGTCAACAGATGCGCGAGAAAAATATTATGCTCCGTGAGGGTCGATGGATTTAGGCGATAACGAATAACAAATTTACTAATGTCATTATTGCTGTTGCGGTTATTAGTGTCAATATTGTTATTATCATTTCCATCACTATCATTACCCTTATTACTATCTTACTTATTACTTATTACTATCCTTACTTATCACTATCATTACCCTTATTACTTATTACTATCATCATTATCATTACCATTATCGTTATCGGTATTATTTTCATTTTTATAATTTTTCATCATCATCATTATCATTATCATTACCATTATCGTTATCGGTATTATTTTCATTATCATAATTTTCATCATTGTCATTACCATTACCATTATCGTTATCATCATTATTATCATTATTATTAATCATCAACATCATGGTATTACAATTATCAACATCATCATCAACATCATCAACACCATCCTAATTTCTGCTATCACCATCATCATCATTACCATTATTATGATAATCATTACCATTGTTATCATCATTATTATAGTTTAAATGCTCTTGCCAGGGACTTCATGGCATAGATACGGAAGCTACCATTATTTTTATCATTTAATCATAATTACTGCGGTTGATTATGTTGCAAATATTTTTTTTCTGTATCTGTCATTGTATATATTCGTATATATTCTTCTACTTAACTTCTTTATCAAATTCTTTTCTTGTTCTTCTTCTTCTTCTTCAGCTTCTACTTCTTCTACTGCTTCTTCTTCTATTTCTTCTATTTCTTCGTTTTCTTTTTTTCTCCTACTTCGTCATCTTCTTCTTATCCTTCTTTTCCTTCTTCTTCTCTTCTTTTTTCTTCTCTCTTACCTTTCTTCTACTACTTCTCTTCCTTCTTCTGCCTCTTCTTATCCTTCTCTTCCTCCTCCTTATTACCATTATTATTATTTTACGTCTCCTATTTCTTCTTCCTCTTTTTCCTCTTCTTCTACTTCTTCTTTTCCCCCTCCTCCTTGTTATTTTACTGCTTCTTTTTCTGCTCCTCCTTCTTCTTATTTTTCTCATTCTTCTCCTTTCCCTTCTCCTCCTTCTCCTCCTTCTTCTCCTCCTCCGCCTTCTCCTCTTCCTCCTTCTTTTTCTTCTTCCTCTCTTCTTCTTGTCTTCTTCCTTATTTTTCCAATCCTGCGTCCATTGAATTCACACGTTCCTCTTTCGATGTCTGTGTCTGTCTTTTATTAATTTCATCTATCTCTCTATCCTGTTCTTTCTTCCCTTTCTCTGTCCTTTTCCTCCTTCCTTTCTCTCTCTGTCTCTTTTATCCCCCTTACTTTACACACACACCCTCTATTCTACTTCCACCTCTCCCCCTTCCTATCCCCCCTAACATCCTTATCCTTTTCACCCCTCCCCTTCCCTCTTTGCATCCTTCCCCCCTCCTATCGTCTCCCCCTCCAATATCCTAATCTCTCTTACCCCCACCCCATCCTGTCTCCTATCCCCCCAGCATCCCTTAACCCCACCCACCCCGCCTCTTACCCCCCCCCCTCCACACCTTCTTAACTCCTCCCCCCCTCCACCCCCCATCCCCCCCCCCCTCGAACAGCCTCCGGGGAGCCCTCGGGGAATCCCATAATTGGCTCTTTCTTTTATTCTCCCCTCCCCCCTCCCTCCCGCCTCCCTTTCCCCCCCTCCACCCCATTCTGCCCCTCCCCACTTGACCCCCCCCCCTTCCCTGAGGCAAAGGACCCACGCAAACTTTCGCTTTTGTGGCTTTAACTTGTGTCTTGGGGCTTTTGTTAATGTCTGGGGAGGGAGGGGGGGAGGGGAGGGGGAAAGATGGGGAGGGAGGGAGAGGAGGAGAGGGAGACATCGGGGGAGGGGAGGATGGGGAGAGGGGAGGGGAGGGGGGGGGGGGAAGGATGGGGAGGGAGGGGAGGAAAGGAAGGGTGGGGAGGGAGGGGAGGAGAAGGATGGGGAGCGGAGGGAAGGGAAAGGTGGGGAAGGGAGGGGAGGGGAAGGTAAGGGGAGGGCGGGAAGAAGAGGGGAGTCATGGGTAGGAGGAAGCTGGATGGATAGGAGGGAAGAGAAGGGAAAGGTGGGGAGGGAGGGGAGGGGGAGGGGGAGGGGAGGGGAGGGAAGGAAAGGTGGGGAGGAGGAGGAGGGTAAAGGGGATGTGAGGGAAGGAGAGGGAAAGGTGAGGGAGGGAGGGGAGGTATGGGTGGAAGTTGGATGGAGGGGAGGGAGAGAAGGGAAAGACGCAGAGGAAGGGAAGGGGTGAGGTGGGGAGTGAGGGAAGGGAGGGGAAGGATGGGGAAGGAGAGGAGGGGAAGGGAAGAATGAGGAAGGAGGAAGGGAGGGAGGGATAGGTAGGAAGATTGGTGGGGATGTGGGGGGGGGGGGGAAGAAGGGAAAAGAGGGAAGAAAGAGGGAAGGTTGGAAGGGAGAAAGGGAAGGAGAAGAAGTGAATAAGTGGGAGGAAGGGTAAGTGGGAAGGACGGAGGGAAGGAGAGGAGAGGGACGGGGGAAGGCTGGGAGGAATTCATCTTTTTTTCAAGAGGGAGATTTTTTTTTTTTTGGGGGGGGCGGTTGTTGCTCTTTTTCTCGCCCTGCTCTTTTTGTGCTGAATATGTTTCTTACTCTTTTTTTACCCCTTTTTATTTGTACAATATATATTTTTTTTTCTTTCTCTGTGTGTTTTTTCTTTATGTCTTCGTCTTTTTCGTCTTTTTACGTCTGTCTGTTTTTATTCTCTTTTTTTTCAGTTCTTTCTTAATGTTTTAGTATTTTTTCCTACTTCTATCTTCCTCTCTGTATTTCCTCTTTTATTACTCCTTTCTTTCCCTCTTCTTCATTTACTTATCTTCCTCTTCCACCTCTTTTCCCTTTTTTCTATTTTCTCTCTCCTTCCTTCTCCACTTACCTTTCTATTTTATCCGTCCTTCCTCCCTTCTCCTCCTTCCCTCTATCTCCTCTCCCCTTTCTCCTCTTCCTTTCTCTCTTATTCCCTTCCTCTCTCTTCCCGCTATCTACTCCATCCTTAATGAATATGCATGTAGCTTTTTTCGTTCTTTCTTTCTTTCCTTTAAAGCTCTTTCTCCTTTTTTTCCTTTTTTTTCTTGGTTAATTCACGTCGTAATTTCATTGTTTTGAAAAAATGTGAGATTTTAGAAAAAGAAAAAAAAAATCTATCGATCTTGAGAAGAAACATTTTGGCCAAAGATGAGGATTTTTTTTTTTTTTACTTGTTTCTTTTTTATCCTTTTTATCAAAAGTGTGTGTGTGGTGTTTGTTGTGTGTGTGTGTGGTGTGTGTG